TTCCTTTTCTTCAGTGCAGTAATGCAAAATACACAACTGCAATGCAACGCTCTGCCTTTTATGCGTTCATAATAATATTATTTTCATTACAACTGAGTGCATTTTCTCAAATTCTACCAAAACAAATCCAGATGTTTAAAGATTTTTATTTTATTATTCATAAGAGAGATTTAAAATTAATGATTAATAATGGTGATGATAATGTTCATGTGGCTCAGTGGTAGAGTATTGCGTTAGCAGCGCAAAGTTTGTGGGTTCAATTCCCAGGGAACACACATACTGGTAAAAAATGTATAGCCTGAATGCACTGTAAGTCAATGTCACAATTAGAGGTCGACCGATTGATCGGCCGATTTTTTTTGCATTTAATTAATCGGCATCGGCCGATTGTGCTGCAAATTAGGCCGATTTATAGGCCGGTGCACTGGCGGGCAGGCAGCTAAGCGTTGTTGCGGAACTCCCTCTGGCTGCGTGAGATGGAGCTGCTCACGCTCTGAAGGCTGCAGCAGCTGTGGCTTGTTCACACACAGCCTCAGCTAATGGCAGGGTAAAACAGACCGTTTCGAAAGCAGGATTACGTTTTACCTTACTAGACTTGATGCCGGAAAGTTATATTCATAAGTGCAAGTCATTTGCATGTGAAAGTAGAAACGCGTTCAATTCAGATGAAACTTCTGGGCTGATTATAACGTGCACGTTAACTTTCCTCATGAAATGTGTCTGTGGGTCCGACAATAGCCTCCACAATGTCATATATTCGCTCCTTCAGAACTGTTTTGAGAAGGTGCTTAAGTTTTGAGCCATGTATTATTACTCTAAATTGGGCTACTACTACCATTACTATCTTGTACCATGCAATAATCATTTACTCAAACTCACTTTTATGAGATTAATGAAAAAAAAAAAAAAAGAAAATCGGCCAAAAAAATCGGCATCATATATCGGCCATCGGCTGCCCTGATTTCTAAATATCGGCATCGGCCAGTGAAAAACCCATTTCGGTTGACCTCTAGTCACAATGCAAAATATCTTGATCACAATTTTCTTTATAGAACAAATCATTTCTAATATAATTTGTAATGCCAGAAAAATGTATCGTAATTGTGCATTATGATATTATTCATTACATCTGAGTGCATCTTATCCCAAATTCTAGCAAAATCAATATTTTTATTTATTTATTTTATTCCTATTATTTGCAATAGAGATTTTAATAGAGATTAATTTTTTTTTTAAACAATTCCCAGTAATATTTAAATCCGCATAAATTAAAGGCTGATGTATATATATATATATATATATATATATATATAAAATGGCAATTAAACACATTTTATACCATGTGTGTGTATATTAGTATACATCAGCCTTTAACTTATGCATCATAATGCAAAATATCTTGATAATCTAGAAGACTTCATTTACTTTATAGAAAAACTCAACTTCTAATATAATTTGCTTGCTGTTGATTTTAGTGGTGAAATGTGATCTGGACATGTTCCTGACTGGCTCCTGTTTGTCTTTCAACCAGTCAGCCGGCTCGTCTGGATGCTGCACCTGTACAGGTGTGTCCTCCTCACACTCTCAGGCATCTGCCTCTGACATCACAGTCTGCTGACGTCACACGACTCGTGAAGCGTGTCAGACGGATCTTGCTGCAGGTGACAGGAGGAACAGGTGTGTGCAGGTGTGTTCTTACCTTTGCCATCTGAGCCTGAACTCCGCTGGTCTTCAGAGCGCTGACTGCTTTCTGAGCAGCAGCAGGGCTGTCAAAGTCTACAAAGCCATAGCCTGAGAGAAAGACAAGCACAACATAAGCTGTGATACAGCTTTAAAGAGACTGCACACAGTTTTAATAATCGCCACATCGCATCTGTGTGAGCTGCACGCTGTACAGTTGACACAGGAATTGTCACTTGCACAAACGAGGCAGTGTCAAATCGTCACTAAAGCTCATAATTTGCATTTATTTTTAATGCACACTCAGAGTGCCGCTCACATAAGGCCACCTCACATTCGGCTCACAAACTCAGGCTTGTGCTGTGTGTAAGCTACGGTGCAACAATTGCCCCATTGTTAAAACAAAAATGCACTGCATTATCAAACATTTAGGTGAGAATCATATATTTGAGAAAAATATCGGCTCACAAGAGTCACCTCTTGAGTGGAATTCCCCCCCATTTTCAAAAATGAAATTCATTTTTGTATGAAGTGTTTTGTATGAGGTGTAACGTTTTAATTCTCGCTGTTCAATTGTTGCCGCCGCCGCCATGTCGTGGCGCTGTGAAAGCGAAACTAGTTTGTTTGACCTTCCAAAAGAGGACGATATCTGCTTCGTCATGCCTAGAGCTGATCCGTGCTGGTCGCTGAGGAAATGCATCAATTTCGCGCTGTGGATCGCCGGATCGGCTTTTACCGGTCGTCACATGTGGTTGCCGCAGGCATCACAATATGGTGAGGGGCGTAACATTTCTGTCACATGCTTGAGGAATTCGGCCAATCACAACGCACTGGATAGCTGGCCAATCAAAGCACACCTCGCTTTTTCAGACCGATGAGCTTTGTAAAAATCGACGCGTTTCAGAAAGGCAGGACATAGAGGAGAAACAATGTACAGTATGTGGAAAATAATGTGTTTTTTAACCTTAAACCGCATAAACACATTTCATTACACCAAATACACAAAATAATGTTCTTTTTATCAACATCATATGACCCCTTTAATCAAATAACAAAAGAAAATCATTAACTGACTGAATATCTTTTGTATATTTAATGATTAATCAATATTTTATGAAAAGAAAACTATACAGTGTTTTTAAACTTTTGATTTCAATTTCTGTACCTGACATTTGATCAGTTTTATTTATGCTATTGCTAATTAATTTGTTTACTTGTCTTTAACAATTTAATGTTTGAAATTTTATATTAGTCTAGTTTTTTTCTGTGGTATTTTTTTGATAAAACCATAGACCTAAAACAGAATAAATATGTTTGACATCTAAATATTTGACTTAAAAAAAATCCATTAATTTTCCAAAGTGTCCATTTCAGTGAATCTGATTCAATGAATCGCTCAACAGCACTCTCCATTTTTCATATATTAAAATGTTTAGGATGTGTAGGAAAATGTTCGTTTCTGTATATTGTTATATTGGTAAATATACATTTATTTTATACAGTATTTGGTTGCAATGATGGTTCCACTCTCAAAGCAAATCCATATACAATATATTGTCAAAAGACTATCATTATTAGTTGTGCGGATGGATCATAGGTGTTTCTTTGTCACATATATTTGAGCTATTAATCAGGATGATCTGTGTTTGTGGTTTGACCTGTTGACTGATTAAATATAGCAGCAGTTACAGCAGAGGAGTGAAGGGTGGAGCTGAACGCAAGGACTTATCTTGGATCCGCTTCCTCGTGCCCATTTAATTGTTCTCATTAGAGGAAGCAAACACTGATAGTGCAGCGCTTCTCTTGATATGTGACTCACAGCACACTTCTACAAGCAGAGCTTTGCTTCCTGCTGTGGCCCTTAAAGTGTTTTTACCCAATACACACTTCGTAATTCCAACAGTCTCACGGGAGTTTCTGTGTGTATCAAAAAAACATCAGTGTATCCATTAGATGGTGTCATTTATGATCTTTTGAGCCTTGCATATTTATTTTCTGGTAAATTGTATTTTTTTGTAAATTACGTCATTTGTTGCGTGAAGTTCCTTTAAATTTTCTGAGGGTGCTCTGATCAGGATTTTTGAGCTGATCACTGATCACTAGGGTTGGGTATAGTTTTAATTTTATCGATTCCGATTCCGGTTCTGCTTATCGATTCCTAATTCCGATTCCAATAAGATTAAAATTTGTTTAACCTTATAAAGTCTATTGTATAATTAATTTTTAAGGCCTCTACATGATCAACTTTGCTGAATAAAACACTGCACACAATCTTTCTTTCATCATCTGATTGACTTGTGCTTTACATGTAATTTTCCTGTGAAATCTTTAAGGATTTTTATTAAGTAAACATAAGAATATCTTTCATGTTTGTACACTCTAAAAAATGCTGGGTTGTTTCAACCCAACTTTGGGGCAAATATGGACTAACCCAAAGTTTGGGTTAAAACTAGGGCTGTGCGATTAATCAAAATCATCATATAATCGTGATTTATGCTTGCGCGATTTCTAAATCGCTTTACAGCACAATTTTCCGCGCCCCCGACCTCCCGCAGTATGCTATCCGAACCAATCAGAATGCAGCGCGCCTAAATGGAGCACGAGAACAGAACAGACCGGGCGGGCATACAAACGTAACACCAGGTCCACACACTCCGTCTGTGGTGCGTATTTTTTCCGTACCCATGTTAACAGATCAGAGCGTTCACACTGCACGCAACTGCGGTCCGGCAGTGCGCTCCAGGAGCGGTGCGTCTGCAGCAGTAGTCTGCTGTGCTGCACGTGCTGAATTAAAGTGGCAGCGCATTATTCGCGGTAAAAATTAACATGGATTGACACGGAAATTCAAGTAGGTATAACTGCAGACCGGAGATCTCCAAAATGGGGCGTGAACTCCAAAAGTG